GTAAGGGTTTTTTTATATTTAAAAATCTGTCTGACAATGAAAATCTGTTGTATTGTAAAATTCGTTATATCAAAATTTGTTGTAGAAAGAGTTGACTGTAGTATTTAATTCACTCATTTGAAAAAAAAGAAAGTGAAAACAAAATAACAAAAATTTAACAAAATGAAAATCTAGCTTAGTAATAATAGCATAATTAACTAGTTTAAAGTGAAATTAACTGAATAATTTCTTTTGATGATAAGTTTAAATTTATCATGTAATCTGTGTGTTTTATAAAATGGATTATCTAAAAATACAAAATTTTAATTTTTCAATTGATCAAACTGATGTAATACCCCCATTATTTTAGACATTCTTTATCATCATAGAATATACAAAATTTTCTTTGAATGTTTAAGATAATGCAATTTTTTATTTTTCAGATTTAATATGTATTTTTATTGTAAAACAGAATTTGAAAAAAAATTTAATTTAATATGTAATGAAAAATCACGAGTCAATCATTAATTTATATTGTATGAAAAGTAAAATTTTTGTCTTTTAAATATATTAAAAAAGAAATTTGAATAATTTACCTAAAAACTTTTATCATTATTTGTAAAAGAATTTATTTTAAGAAATTGTTTTATATTTGAATATAAAAAGAATTGAAATTTTATTGCAATGCTTTTTTTACTTGAAAAAAGGATAGTTAATGAGCTTATATCTGTGCTATTTAACATCATATCTCATTTTACCATCTTGTTTTATATCAGATTAATCAAAATCACATCAAGCCCCTAAATTAATTAAGATATACATATATGAAAAACCAAAAATTTGGATTAAAATAAAACCTCAAATTTTTGATATAATTGAGCTTGTTATACTATTTCCAAAAAAGTTCAGCCACAATCATATCTAATTTTATATTATTAGGATTTTTGGGTAAATCTATCTGATAAATGCTACAAGTTCTCCATTCTGTGAGAATAAACAAAATTCCACATTAAAGCATATACATTAACACCAAATTTAATTTTAATTAATAATTAATTCAAAAATAGTTACCATGATGTTAACATTGCATATATAATTATTTAACTAATTCTCCACCTTCAATTATACTTTTAGAATATTAATTAATTTCTTTGTAAAAAGATTGATGTCTTTAAATATTATCATCTGATATGTCTAATAATATATTGAATCAGAATTATTTATTTCTTTGCCTAATCAATTAACAAATTTTTGATTCTAAAAACAAATTTCATCAGATTTTAATTCATATATAGAAGATTTTAATAATTTACATCAAATCAAAATTAGATATTAAAACTTTAATATAAAAAAGTTGACAATAGTACATACATCATTTGTTTAGATTACCAAATGACCTTGGAATTAAGGCTTTTTGAAATATTAGCTAATTATATAATTTACCTAATTGTAATCATGAATAAGTAAATAATATAACGAAAAATGTGAAAAATAGTGCTCGTTCAAAACTACATTCTGGTAAGTAATCTAGAATATGTAATACGAATCTTAAAAAAAGAAAATTTCCATTAAAAATTTTTTCATTCATTGGCAAAAATAAAGTTTCACCGACATATGATATAATTCAGGTTTGTAATAATTATGTCTTTTTGTGCTGAAAATTTGGCCGTAAGAAATAACACGTCTCTAAAATTTTAGTTATAGTGGGACATTTAATAATAATCTTCGTATATAAAGGATATAAAAATAAATGAACATTTGCCAATAAAAAAATTATTTATCATAAATTTTACATTTTGACATTTTAATGATAATTAGATATCTAATTCTGATTCATATATTCTTCGTGCAGGTTATTATAATTTATTAAGAGAATAGTGTTAGTTTTTTTTTGATTATTTTTTTGGAAGGTGAAAGTGTTCCAAAAGTGTGTAACAATTTCGCAGCAAGATCTTCGTTGTATTCTATTTTTGAAATGAAAAATATAAGAGTAAGAAATATGTTTGAATAGGTAGGTAACGGAGATGCAAAAAGTAGTAAAATATATGTGCATAAAAATACATAGAAATGCATAGAGGTAAAGATAAAAAAATATGTGTGAAATGAGACGCATTAGTGTAGAAACTCAAGATCCACTTCAGTTACAAAGGTGATAACTAAAAGTGAAACCTCGTTTTCAAGAGGCTCGCAGATCATCATTTAGGTTTGCAATAAAGCAATTTCATAACCGAATCCTCGTAAAGAAACAGTAGACCTTTGTGGTCGAAATGTACTTAAGCTACTACACTACACCACGAAACACTTCCACGAAAAAAAAATAAAACACATTATTTCTTCACTTACTTTCTTTGGTTATCATCGTCGTCGTTAAAGCGTTGTAAGTTCGATGAAACATGTACAAAGTGTAAACAAGTTATGAATCTTAATAAAGTTCGTTTCACTTTTTTTGTTGTTTTTACTAAAATATACAAAGTGTTGGAAGAGAGGATATAATTGTTTTAAAAAAGTATATATTTATTTAATCGTGCGAACATTTATTTTTATTGGTCATGAAGATCATACTGTTTTTAGAAATATTACTAATATGAAATTATCAATAAAGTTCTTGTTTGAATATAGAAGAAAATATATACAAACTTTAATATTATATTCTTTGTCATTTTTTTTAAAAAAATATCTTCAAATTGTGCTTAGAAATTTCTTTTTTTTGAAAAACTTGGAGCAGGACCAGGAGGACTTTGTTCTTTATCATTCTTTAATAAAAATTAAGATAAGAATTTAATTTAAAAATCTTTGAACGTGAAACTATCCCTAAAAGGTAAAATATATAAAGTTCGAAATTCGTTAGAATAAACCATTTCCAAATTTTGAATTACATTTCACCGATCATCTGGGAAATTTTTTTGGTCACCCGTATTGGTCACAAATTATCCGGTATCACGTAAATTTTTTAATTAACGACTTCTCTCCTTTTTTTTTTACAAAAAATAATATTATAGTCGGTTGGTCCCGGTCAAAAATGCTTAAAATACAAAAAAAAGACTAAGCTTTATTGAATATTGTACTATCTATTGGATATCAAACCATGTTATAAGAGAACTTCCGCAAGTGGCTTTGGCGAAGTTTCGGCGTAAAAAGGTTAATCCCGCGTTCTTACGAGGTTATGTTTACATTCCAAAAACTCCCAGATTCCAACATGTCCTATAGATTTTTGCAAATTAACCGTGGTGGTAACGGGTAACGGTCGTTAGACATGAAACTGGAGAAATCCAAGGAAAACATACCGGTATTGTCATGTAAGCATACTTACTTAGTTATCGTCGTCTTGTCATTTTAGCAGCAGGGTAGTCCGAATATTGTTAAGAGAAAGGATGTCATCCAGGCCGTCAAAGCACGTATGGACTACGTCGTGTCCCGAAAATGAAATTATTTTCATTTAAAATCACGAGGGGGGTCTCGTTGGTGATGTGGTGGCATAGTTGTGTTTGAAGGGTGACCCTCCTATTCCCAGTTTCTTTTTATATAAGACGTTCAAATCGTGTTCGTCCCCTTTCCCAGATAATGTAGGTGATGATGAAATTAACGAGGCATGTATGATGATTACCGGACTTATCACAACGGGTCTCAGGTCAATTTATTTTATTGTTAATTAATTTCTCTCTTTTCGATACTTCTCCCCAACACCTCTAACAACTTCTTTTCTTATTCTACAGATCCGAAAATTCTGACGAAAAAGAAAGAAGTTACTATATGTTATGTTCAGACTTCCTACTAAATAAGTTAAAGAAGTTTATGAACGGAAATCTCTAACGAATATTGTAAAAAATGCATTGGATTAGAAGAAACCGAAAATGAAGTTTGGGCGATTTTGAAAAATGGTTCACGAGAGTCAAGCGATAACAAATAGAATTAATTCTCTGGGTATTTAAATTTTTAACCTGACAATAAATTTTGAAATATTTTAATTTTACGTCTTTTCTTTTTTTATATTTTTTGTTGTAATTCGAAAGTAAACGGTACCGGAATTACAAATATTCGATTAATTACCTCGGAAATTCCATGAAAAAAAATTTTGTTGACAGGTTAATGAAAATTCATGGAGTCGGTCTATTTCAAAAATCCCTTGGAATGCACGGTGATTGGTCTTTTAATGTATTTCGATTGATTCCAATTGAACAAGATCTAAATTACAAGAACAAGTATGATTTAAATGAGCCTCATTACAGAGTAAATTTTTCTTACGCATATCCCTCCGAAATTGATATCAAAGAATCAGATGGAAATAAGGTCATCCTACATAGTAATAAAACATGTAATTCAAAAATTTAGGCCAGATTGCGAAAGGAATAATGTTTTATTAGAATTATGGGAATTAGTTCCTCTGACTGATCCAAATGGTCAAGCAAAATATCCGTTTATAACCTATAATCCAGTTAAACGAAGAAATTGCGAGATATTGACCCATCGTCTGTTAATCCTTGGAAAAATAGCTGAGTAACATTATTGGGAGATGCTCACCCTGTACTTGGATTAGGAACAATAATGCAATTGAAGATGCTTATGTTGTTTCTCAGGCGTTACTTAATAATTCTTCGGGAAATTATATTTCTTGTATCTAAGCATATGAAAAGGAAATGTTAAAACGCACATCCGCTTATGTTAAAATCTAGGTCCAATGCACTAAGAATAAAATATTAATAAGTCCAAAATATCCAACAGAAGGTAATATGAATCTTTATTTGCAAACTAAAATATCATTTATATGAAACAAATTTGAACCAATATAAGCATTTTTAATTGGGTTGTGAGTTTATTATTACTTGCATAACTAAACAATAATCAAAACTCAACTTAAGGGATAATAAAAAAAATATTTAATGGGGAAGCAATTAATTACATTGCTAAATTGTTAACCTGTTAAAGAATTTCTTTAATTTTAACTTTGGCCGAAATTTAATTTTCGGGCAGAAATTTTATTTTTGTGATTACAAAAAATTTCGCCAGTTCTGCTTGCCTGATATTAACCGGATAAGATTTTTTAGGTTGGTTCCAAACTCTAGTTAGAAGAAATATTCCGTTACACAATTCTTTAGCGCGATCGATCCCGGCAAGAATTTTTCATGGAAGCAGTAATGGGTATTTGATAATCGCGGTTTTAAAATCGAACGAAAAAATATTGGATCAACAGATACTTCTGAGAGCTTACTTACAATAACATATGAGCTGGCAGATATATACGGGAAGTTTCGAAGAAATGAGGCTAGACACTTAAACATTATTATATAATTAATCGTATCTGCCTCATATTCCAAATAAATTCCGGTGATGTCAAATTTGAATCCAGTTGACTCAACCGTCTAGACTAAATAAAAGTCCTTGAAGTGTATCCATGAGTACAACATTAAAAGTAAGTATTAATAGTACTTAAGTGTGAAATTGAATCAAATACTAATACCTCTACCAATCCAAGAATTGAATTCATAATCCATTGGAACCACTTGTTATGACTCACCACGGAAATCCGGTCAATTGATATTCCTGCTTTGCATGGAAATTAGTTTGAGTTGCAAACTATTATTTCCTCATAATCATCTGTCTTTTTTTATTAGAATATTTCCTCATGAATCATTATCCCTGAAATTCAATCGGAAGACACATTCGGACCATTAGATTAACGAAGCGTTATATAAATTAATCCTTTCCCAATAATATTAGTAACTTTTTTACGTCTCCAGACAATGGAAAGTTTTCAAAGATATTGGTAACACAAAATATTCAGATAAATATTAAGTATTTAGAATAAATATATATACACGTATCATCTACATATATATTAACGATATCCATTTAATATGATGTAAGAAATGTATAAAAGATATCAATGTCAAGTTGTATTAATCCGGAAATTGTCCATGAATATGCTTGGTGATTTATGCTTGCGAATGAATGTTCAATTTATATATATATCTTTCTTTTTGCTTAAAAAAAAAAATTTTGCACCCTTTTTCCTAAAAGGCCCTCTCCTCGTATCGATTACAATAATATTTATTTGTTGCATAAAATTGTTTTGTTCATCTAAGAAAATGTAAAGTTTAACAACCAGTTGGGACGATTTTAGTAAAAATTTCAAGCTGCAATACGAACAACTTATAGTATACATATGAATTAATTACGAAATTTAATATTCAAATAAAAATAGTAATCCATAAACGTAAATTAATAAAGGTAATTTTAAAAATATAGTAATGAAATAACTAAGAAGCGTCTTAAGCTAATCGTGTGAAACAATTTATTACTTAAATAATAACTTAGCATTTCCATCTGACTAATTGAATGAACTAATAATAACTTTAATGACGCTTTACTTTCATTCAATATTGCTTCTAAAAGTAATTTAACTGATAATCTTTTACGATCAGAATAATTGCACCAGGTTTTCAAACACATAATGGCGCAAATTGTATTAGCTTTAAGTCCACATCTTTTGGATGATATTAGATTGGTTCCGCTGTAAATGCTCGTTCTACAGGAACATTTGTTGTTTTATTAAAAAATTGTATTAAATTAATAAATGTTTAATATCGATTTTTTTTTTTTACCAGTAATTGCAATATGATCTCTAGCCATTATGTGAATATTGGTTTCATGTAACTATATAATATAATTGAATTAATAAATTAGATAAATACATAACTTACACCAAAGAAGGATATCTTAATTTTTATGCAGCTCGAGGAGCATTAAATAAATTTTATCTCATTTAATTTTATTTATTGCAAAAAATATGATTTAAAATTACATCGTATACATCATTAATATCGTCTACTCTATTTAAGTAATAGCTGGTGTATATCTGCATAATAACAAAGCTTAATTTCATTCTATTTTTAATATTACTTAAAAACAAGTTTAATATATCGGACGTAAAACGAAAAAAAAAGATCACCAGATCATCCGGGTCAAGGAAAACCATGACCTTGATCGACGGGTTTATTAAGTTAGGAATCGTGTAAAAATGATAGAGTCGGGTCGAATGACCTGGGTTCTATCAAATATATGCACAAAAAATATAAGATGAATTTTAGGAAAATCCTTACCAAGATACGGCTTCCACAAAAGAAAAACATAGGCTGAAGACCGAAAAGATATTGTAAAATTATCCAGAAATGAAGCAAAGTTTGATTAAAATATAAAATTTTATTTTCTAAATTTTTATATTTATTTGAAAAGTGGTCTCCTTGAAAGAGTAGAAATGAACTATATACGTGAGTATGTCGAAATCGAAGCATCCTTCTCTTGACAAGATAAATAAATATCTAAAATTTCATCAATTTCATCAATTTCGGATTTGTCCTCATCAGTTGAGAAAGTTGTATGGTAAATAATTTTAGAAGTCATGATTTCTTTGATCGCGACGGATTCCTTTCCTTTGCGATATTTATGGAATACTTTGTGTTTGAGGGTTTTAAATTTCTTGGAGAAAAATATTTTCAACTTATTGGGCGATTTATTCTGTTTAGGCCAGAATTGATCACCTTTCAATGGTTCCATGATAATTGGGATAGATTCAGGAATGAAACTTTCATACCTTTTATCAAAAATCGAATAATTGGGACTTTGCATATTTATTGTTATATAATGAGAAAGCTATAGCTTGAAATTGCTACAAGATGATATTTGGCCTGCTTATATATCTTTTTAGCAGCATACTCGTCCTTTATTTACGCTAATGTTGACATATTCCTTTGTGAATTTTGTTTCAGGTTTGTTAAATCACATTATTATTTCGAATAAAAGTAAGTGTCATGATTACAAGTTACAATACTTTGCCTGACACATGATAGATAGTTTAATTGATTCAAATGTTGATGATTTGACACTTAATACATAAACATGCGATAATCGAATTACTAATATACAGCACTATTATAATTGCATTATCAGAATACTTATATCCTGTATTATTTGAATTTTGCATATGCATGATATCACAAGAAACAAAAAGTCAATTAAAAATGCGATGTTTTATTACAATACAATCAAAAATATGACGTATTTCATGTAATGAATTTTAATCGCACATAATATCATGGCGCAGAATTGCCGACCAATTTATGGTGATTTTAAATCTTGCTAATTATATTGAATGAATGAACATTTTATTTTATTTTAATAGTGATATCAGATCAATTTGCCAGAATTAAGAAATTAAAACTATGGTATTATGGTTGATAATGCTTAAATTTTTTAATACAATTTGTATTGTAACTTGTATGTATTACCCTCGGAAACAATTCCGTTGCCGCAGGAAATGACGGCACCTCATGATCATAAACAATTAGGCATGCGAATTATTTCACGTGATTTGATTAATATGGCGCAGAAGCGAGGTGCTTATTTTTGTTCAACAAAAAAATGTATCATGTCCTGTTGAAAAATATAACCTTTAATACCGATATAAGTTACAATAAACCGCAACTGCCTCAATCATGGTAGTAATTACTTTAACCACAACGATATCAAGCAATATAAACCACAACCTAAACCAAAGTTCAACTGAATTATACCTAAACCATAACACCATAATCGCATCCACCTTAACTATAGCAATAATAATATAACCACAACTTATTAAATGAAAAAATAATAAGGTATTGATACTTTATTTAATAATATTTAAGTTTTTAAAAAAAAATTCTAGAATTCCAAAAATACTTATCACTAATTAGTCTATATTAAATGCTTTTTTTTTTCTATATTTTCTAAGGCATGGTTAAGTCTTATATTACAAGACACATCTTCGTTTTTTTTAAAATTCAATCATGTGCACTGATCAACTAATGGATCGGTAATCAATATATTTTAACGTGTTTTATCGCGTTCCAATTTCCTTTTGCTTTTTTCCCTTTACCTTTTCCCTCCCTTTTCTTTTTAACTAAAAAATCAAATTATGAAAAAAGTTACCTTAACAAATATTCAAAAATATGAGCTTTGTGCTTATGCTAGTAATAATAAAAAATCTCGAGGTGAATATGTAGATTGGGTTGAGCAAAAATGGGGTGTTAGAATTCATGAGAGTACAGTAACGCGAATTTTACAAGGTCAAAACAAATGACTTACCTCTGAAGTTATCTATCCAGAACAAAAACGGCATTAATTTATTACTTTTTCAGAGCTTGAACTTGCTCTTAAGGAGTTTGTTTTAAGATATCAACACTGAGCTATTCTGAGTGATGCAATATTAACTGAAAAAGCTAAATTATTAGCAAGTGGATTAGGAATTCCTGAAAATGCATTACAGTTTTCTTTGGGTTGATTTCAAGGATTTAAAAAATGCAATGGAATTCATCAGATAAAATTACAAGACGAGACAGCATCAGCTGATCAAGCTGCTATCATAGAAGCTTTACCATTAATACGTAATAAATGTATTCATTATCCTCTTGAACGGATTTATAACATGGATGAAACTGGCCTTTTCTATAGATATGTTTACTTTTATTTTATTTTAATTATTAATATTTTATTATATTATAATTAATAAATAATAATATTTATAGATTAGAACCAGATCGGACATTAGCTACAAAACATCTTTCAATTGCTTTATATGCAAATG